TCAAATTCATTGGATTCCCAGTCACATCGGAATATTTGGTAACTCCTTAGNTATTCAAAACAATTATTGCTTGATTAAAATGAAATTCGGTATATAGGTGGCTTTATGCTTAAATTATCGGAAAGAAAAATTTCTTTCTGGGAAGTTGGCCAAGGCTTGACCTATTCAAAAAGGTTTATTTATGGTTCGATTTATCACAAAGTAGATACATACGTGTTTTTTTGCTTAGATTAAAAAGAAAGGCTTCACTTTTCTTCGGAATGTGAAGAAGGGACTGAGTTATTGCAAAATTTATGTGTGGTTGAAATTAATTAAAGCTTGCAGTTCCCACGAGCTAACTGAAGAGTGCGGTCACGTTAGTGTAAACTTTAAAAAACATAAGTTTTTCTCGCCCACTGGCCTTAATTTAAATTCCAAAACTGTATAACTTTCTTTTAACACCGGATAGCAAAAAGACAACCAGAAGCAGGTAGTCAAAAACAAAAAATAATAATAATGTTCACCACCATGGAGGTAGACCCCGGAGGGGGTAGAAGTAATTGCTTCGCCATCCTAGACCAACAACCAAAAACAAAACGCAAAGCCTATTACGTTATCAAGACCTTTGAATTTCCTACACCAAAAAATACCAAATATACAAACCCTCAACAAAATACGTCATTGCCAAAATTTCTATTAACAAAAATCAAAACAGAAAAAACACACTTAAATCTTACAACATTTTGGCAGTAAGCAAAGCACTTGAATCAATTGCAACTGAGAAACCTCTCGAAATCAGATTACGGAGACTTACTAAGTCCAGTAAAATCTCTACAACAAGTGAATAAATATCTAAAAGCCACATAAATATCAAATATATGCGCTATATATATATGCCTCTCTTAATATACATGGATACCACAATAATACTACTAATAAAGGAAAATAACTAGAAAAACGTTGCTCTTCAAGAAACTCACCTCAAAGAAATCCCCTCCTCAAACTATATACCAAAAAAACTTTTGTATTTATGGAAAGAATAACATAGAAAGAGAAGAAAATGCAAAACGAGGTATCGCCTTGTTGGTAGCGGATAATGTGGAATTCACACCTATTCAACTAAATACTTCCATTCTCGCAATAGCAATAGAATTAAAGTCCCTGGTCAAATTACATGAACTCANAACACACCATCAAAAGTTCTATGGGACAAAGTAAATTTCATTTATGGACATTGACCACAATACTTTGTTCACTCCATTGAAAGAGAAGACTTCATATCATCTGAAAATAGGTAAAACTTTTGCTAGAGCCTGGTCAAATTATTTACTGTACCCATACCGAAAGCAGAAAACCCAAAAAATTTTACCGAAGGTATAAGGATATTTCTTACCTCCTGCTTGTCAAAAGCTATGGAAAAAATGTTATCGCGGAGACTTGTGTGGTATCTACAAAAAAATCAGCTATTTTCAAGTAACCCAGTTGCCTTTAAGTCCGGAAGTAGCACTATGAATACATTACTTCGCTTAGACGAGCATATTGCAAACACTATATTCAGTAGAAACCACATGTCTTTCATATCTATAGACATGGAGAAGGCTTTCGATAGAGTTGGATTGGCTTGCATTGCTCTCCAATATCAGTCACTCTCTTTTTAATCGCTTACGATACGCTCAGTGAAATAATTAATGAACATAAATACTTTAAACATGTCATCTTCACTAACGATTTGTACATATATGCCAAAATAAAAGAAATATCTATAATTACAGCTAAATTTTACAGCCTCTTTGTAGAAATTTTAAACTGGTGTAAAATCAGCGGAGTTAAGATATCCATAACAAAATCAATAATTTTCACATGTGAAACTAACATTCTTGTTAAAGCTTTAGCTTGAAAATAGAAGACACATACATCACACAACGTGACTTCACTTAAAATACTTGGCCCATACTTTAACAACAAATACAACTGGTACGATCACACTAGTTTTTTCAGAAATCGCTACAAAACAAGCTTAACATCATTAAGTGCCTAAGCAACATCAAATTAGAAAGTAATACAAACTCACACCTAAATATCGTGAAAGCAGTTATCCTCGCACGGCGAAACTTCGCAAGAAAACCTTTCCAAGATATCAGCAGCATATTATTCTGCAGTTTATTTTGTTTGGTTCTAGGTGCCTTTCGTACTACTCCCATAATCAATATCCTTACCGAAGCGGGCTTACCCCTACTCAAAGATAGGAATAACTACATATCAGGTCGAATGGCTATTAAACTGACCCTAAATGATGACACAACTCTAAAATCAATAGTAAAAAATAGGCTGAAAAGAAAAAGAAAACCAAGCTTTTCGTAGCGGTGACATGTCGCTGGAAGATAGCACCACCGTCAGACTCCAAAATCCACCGTGGACATTGCCTCCGGACTGCATATTATTGCAATTAGAAAAATACAAAAAAGAAGACACTCCGAAATCTGTATTCATGCAGAACTTCCAGCGCATACGCAACAAATACCTAGAATGGTCCACACTATACACCGATGGCTCCAAATATAAAGAAATAACTGCTTTCAGCATCGTTAACAAACACCAAACCCAAACTATTGCTGTGCTACCACACTACTCTTCAGTATATACTGCAAAAGCAACTGAAATTCTTTATGCTTGTAAAATTGCAAGACAAAATAGAGGAAAATGGCTAATCTGTAGCGACTCACTTTCTACCCTTACATCGATTAAAAACATAAACAACAACGATACCTTGGTATCCCAAATCAGAGATTTACTCATATCAAATTCAAACAAAAAATTTGATGTGGATTCCCAGTCGCATCGGAATATTTGGTAACTCCTTAGCAGACGCAGGAGCAAATCTTGCCACGAAATCACCATTACAAATATCACGCAGCTTCAACAAGAATGACCTAAAAAACGAAATAAACAAAGTTAATCGGCAGCTCATATCCCAACATTGGCAAAATATAAATCATCATTACAAATGCATCAACCCAAATCTAATTCCTCCAATCCTCCCTGCAACAATTTCTAGGCAAAACATAGCAATATACACCCGCTTTCGTCTTGGCCACACTCGCATTACCCAAAGCAACCTTTTTCACAATAACAATTCACGAAACAGGACTTGCCAATTCTGTAACGATGAACTCCTTACTATTGAACATATCATTTCTAACTGTGTAGCATTGCACCCAACAAGACAATTAACACCAAATAATACAATCAAAGAAACTCTAACCGTAGTAAACGAAAAAAACATAAGAAAGTTTATTTCGTTTATAATCAAACAAAATTTGTACTTTGAAAATCAATGTAAACTTACCAATCTTAAAAAAAATGCTTAGTAATGGATCGAAAACCATCGAACTCATTACATAGGTGTATTTTCGAATAAATTAACAGGAAGTTTGTTCTTCTCTCGGGAAGAGGACCAGTGATGACTTATTCAAAAAAATCTTAGCTCGATTAAATTGAAATTCGGTGCATAGTTGACTTATTACAAAGATTAATATTGGGTTGCCCAAAAAGTAGTTGCGGATTTTTTTAAAGAAAATAAATGCATTTTTAATGAAACTTAGAATGAACTTTAATCAAATATTTAATTGCCATCGATAACCTTTTGCCATCTTCCTGGCAAATTTAGTATTCCACGCTCATGGAACTTCTGCAGGGCAATTCTCTATCGTATTATAACGATTTTCGGATCGTTATAATGACTTAACGTTAATCTTAACGCAAAATCGAAGCACAGTATAACGATTTTCGGATCGCAAATTAGACTTAGCGATATTTTTAACGATAATCGCTATTCTCTAAAATGGTATAACGATTTTCGGATCGCAAAGAAGACTTAGCGATATTTTTAACGATAATCGCTATTCTCTAAAATGGTATAACGATTTTCGGATCGCAAAGAAGACTTAACGATATTTTTAACGATAATCGCTATTCTCTAAAATGGTTTAACGATTTTCGGATCGCAAAGAAGACTTAGCGATATTTTTAACAATATTCGCTATTCTCTAAAAATAGAATAACCATTTTCGGATCGCAAAGAAGACTTAGCGATAATTCTGACGATTTTAATATTTGGTGTACTTGTTTTAACGATATTCGCTCTCGCTGTTGTCGTAAACTACTCGAAAAATCGCTAACTAAGCGACGAATATTTTTAAGTTGTTAGCGATATCGACAAAAGTGTCTAAGTAATACAAAAATAAGAATAAAGTAATAAAAAAAATGGCTTTTGAATATTTGGCAAACGATTTGTCACAAGATGAAGAGGTATCCTACCCTTCATCATTGGATAGAAGTTTGCGTCGAGAAGCGGAAGATCCTTTTCATTTGGATGCTACCGAGTTTCGGCAGCTATATAGATTAACGCCGGATTTAGTTGAAGAAATCGTTTCTCATCTAGATTGTCAACGAAAAGGAAGAAGCATAACAGCATTGTCTACGGAGAAACAGGTAATAATATATTTTTTCAATATTTTTTTTAGCCTTAACAGTATTATTAAAATGTTTAAAGGTTCTAACCGCTTTGCGATTTTTTGCAACTGGATGCTATCAACGTCCCGTCGGAGAGCAATGGGGGATATCCATGAGTCAGTCGTCAGTAAGCCGTTGCATTCATCGCGTAACAGACGCAATCAACCGCTCGATGTTTCCAGCGAAGGTTAGGTTTCCAATGACGCAAATAGAGCGGCAATATGCAAAGGAAATTTTTGCTTCATCATCGTCACCATTTGTTGGAGGCACTATTGGAGCTATCGATTGCACTCAAGTGTCAATCATGAGTCCCAAAACACATGAAGAAGCTTATGTAAACCACCATGGATACCATTCCATCAATGTGCAAATGGTGAGAGTAAATTTGTTTTCAATTACTATTGTAGTAACAAAGTTTATTATATTTTCACATAGATATGTGATCCTTACCTCAAGATTTTGGCAGTTAATGCTAAGTACCCAGGAGCACGGCACGACTCCTTCATTTGGAGCTCCTCTACAGTGCGAAGAGTAATGCAGCGCAGTTTTGAAAGTGGAAACCACAATATGTTTTTGATTGGTAAACTTTGAAAACCATTAAAACTCATATATTAAAAATAATTATGAAAAAATTAAATTTTCAGGTGACTCTGGATATCTATTAGAGCCGTGGTTAATGACTCCTCTTCCAAACCAACCTCAAGGAAGTCCCAAATTCCGCTACAATGAGGCATTTTGTAAAGCACGAAACCCAGTCGAGCGGCTTTTTGGCGTTCTCAAAGGAACTTGGCAATGCCTATCTCAACAAAGAACTCTTTTGTACGATGCTGGATTCACTGGTAGAATAGTCAATGCGTGCTCAGTGTTGCATAACATTCGATTAGGTGACCAAATATATGAGCTTGGGCAGGAGTTCCTAGAAAATAGAACAAATACCGTCAATTTCAATCAACAGCAAAACGCGTCCAAGATCGCCTGATCGCGAATTATTTCACTTAAATATCAATTTGATAAATAAAAACTCCGGAATATAATTTACATAATTTGTAATTTTATTACATATTTTTGGTAACAAATTCTGCAGTCTTAATATTTTCAACATTTGTACTTAAGTTAAGTTAACTCAGCAAAATACATACAACATACAACTTAATTTAAATGCATAATTCATTACATATCTCAGTATATAATCACAGATAAGTATTTTTTTATGGGTTTAAATACCACATATTATCACATTCAAGTTTCTTAAAGGAGAATCTCTCATGTTCATAACTGCATTACTTCTTTAATATATGTACACGTATTTAAAGAGAAATTGATCATAGTATATGTAATATGAAGTCAGATATAAACTCAAGTATAAAAAAATAGTCTCCAAAACTTATTTTTTTTTTCAAATTAAAACTTAAATGAATAATATAAATAAAAAAAAGAACTACTTGTACTATGTTTAAATTAATCTAATCTAAAAAAATAACTTTAAACTCCATAATATCGTATATTTACATACGGCTAATTGCGTCGGCTAAATTGTTGAAGGCAGCTGCACAAGCTTTCAATCCTTCACCCATTGTGGTCATAGCATCTGCCATTGCCTGCGTGGTCGCGGCATTGCTTTCAGCTAACAACTATTAAAAAAAATAATACTAATATTTGCGATGTAGTTCTATAGCATTTAAAAAAAATTACCTGCAAGGCATCAGCTTGCCTGCTTGCAATTTGGGTGGATGCTGCACCCGACTCTGCTAACATCTTTTCGAAAAAAAACGAAACGACATGAAAACATATTCTAGATGTGTTCCAAATGCAGAAATACTTACTTTTAAAGCATTCGCTTGTGTTTGCGCAATTTCTAAAAATGCGTTTCGGGTATCGCTCACATCTTCCACACGTCTTCTCCTACTGCCTCTACGTGCAGTTTTTGAGGCTTGAGTCGCAGGAGTCGATGCATGCATTTCCAAATCGTCCCCATTTGAAAATGAAGGCATCTCGATAACTATGCTCTCTTCACCCTCCTATAATCGAAGTTGCAGTTCCTAATATTGAAGAGAATTTTAGTCATTTATATTTATACCAAACTGTTAATTTTTCATTACCTCCTCTATAGGCACCGTTTCAGGAACGTTTTCGTGACCCTGGACATAGTCATTACCTATAAGGGCAATGACTCGTCTCTCCAATTCGGTGAGCGGCTCCTCATTAATTGGATGGTTTCCTGTCATTGCCCGCTTTCTTTTCCGGTCTCGGACCTTGATGCTGGTACGGCTTTTCAGATCCCTCCATACCTATTTGTAAAATATAATTTTAACATACTGCCAAATTGCTTAAAAATATTTACATACCGTGCGCCATTGTTCGACGTTTTTCACAGCACCACCAAGGCAATTCAGCGTACTAGCTAATTCGCTCCACTTCCTATCGCAGTCTGATTTTCCATGAAGCTTCTGGAACCGAGACCCTGCCAAACCCGGCGTTTCTCCGAAAAAATCCATCCTTCGAATTAGCTGCTCCATCGTAGCTCGATTTCTTTTTGTCGTAGCCATTCTACAATTATACACACAATAAGGCATGTCTAGTAATACAAAAACTAATAAACGTTTCATTTTACTTACATTTTTCAAAAATATATTCAAAAGCCAGCGTAAAAATATGTACATACTAATTTGGAATAACGAATTTTAATGTTTTTGTTATTCCTCTTTGTGTTTTTCGTACATTTTGACGTTTCGTTAAGCTGTGGTGCAACCTTTCCTACATTTTAATATAATGGAAATATGCGATGTCGATTATCGTAACAACTGAGTTAGAGAATCACATAATCGTTAGCGCAAGCGACAAAATTCGCAACTTTGCGATCCGCCAAATCGTGTCGATAAAAGTTACAGAATTGCACTGCTGGCCTTTATCTGCAAAAAACTGAACGAAGTGCGATTTTATAGCCTCATCATTGCCGAAAGTTTTACCATTGAAGGATTTCTGCAAAGATCGAAATAAATGGTAGTCTGATGGTGCAAGGTCAGGTGGATGCATCAAAAGTTCCCAGCCAAGCTCACTCAGTTTTTGGCGAGTGACCAAAGATGTGTGCAGGACAACGCTACCTGGTGGAATATGACACCTTTACGATTGACCAATTCTGGTCGCTTTTCCATGATGGCTGTATTCAATTTGTCCAATTGTTGACAGTAAACATCCGAATTAATCGTTTGGTTCCTTGGAAGCAGCTCAAAATATACGACACCCTTCCAATCCCACCAAACAGACAGCATAACCTTCTTTTGGTGGATATCAGCCTTTGAAGTGGTTTGAGCTGGTTCACCATGCTTGGACCATGATCGTTTTCGACTAATGTTGTTGTAAACAATCCATTTTTCATCTCCAGTTATGATTCGTTTTAAAAACGGATCGAATTCATTGCGTTTAAGGTGCATATCACAAGCGTTGATTCGGTGTGTTAAATGAATTTCTTTCAATACATGTGGTACCCAAATATCAAGCTTTTTCATCAGTCCAAGACTTTTTTTGTGATAAAGAACGGTTGATTTTGGTATATTTAACTTCTTTCCTATCTCACGCTCAGTTACATGACGATCCAATTCGATTAATGCTTTGATTTGGTCATCATCAACTTCATTTGGCCGACCTGAACGTGGCTCATCTTTAAGTGAAAAATCTCCAGAACGGAATTTGCGAAACCAATTTTGACACTGTCTTCCTTTTAAGGCTTCATAACCATACACATCTCGTAACTTTTTAGCAACCTGCTCCGCCCGCGTATTTTCCTTTAAGGAAATAATAACGTAAAATATGACGAAAATGCTACTTTGTGGGCTCCATATTAAAATTGACGCCAAACAAACAAATGTAAACAAAATTTCGTGCACTTTTTTTCTAAAGCAAGTTAAAAGTAACAGCTGATAACTGACAGAAGAAAGAATGCAGTTTCAGAGTCACAAGCCGTTGAAAAAATTTGTCAACGCCGACTATATGAAAAATCCGCAATTACTTTTTGGGCAACCAATAGATTAACAGGAAGACTACATTTTCTCCGGAATGTGGACCAGGGACCGACAGAAAAGAAAGAATTTATGGATTGAATAGCTTCAAACTCATTACATAGGTTTCTACTACTTCCGGANTCAACGCCGACTATATGAAAAATCCGCAATTACTTTTTGGGCAACCAATAGATTAACAGGAAGACTACATTTTCTCCGGAATGTGGACCAGGGACCGACAGAAAAGAAAGAATTTATGGATTGAATAGCTTCAAACTCATAACATAGGTTTCTACTACTTCCGGAAAGAGTACTCTCCGGAAAGAGGACCAGTGAGGACCTATTCAAAACAATTATTGCTTGATTAAAATGAAATTCGGTATATAGGTGGCTTTATGCTTAAATTATCAGAAAGATAAATTTCTTTCTGGGAAGTTGGCCAAGGCTTGACCTATTCAAAAAGGTTTATTTATGGTTCGATTTATCACAAACTAGATACATACGTGTCTTTTGGCTTAGATTAACAGGAAGACTTCACTTTTCTTCGGAATGTGGAGAAAGGACTGTGTGTTTAAAAATAATTAAATATGGTTAAATTTAATAAAAGTTTGGCTTAGATTAACAGGAAGCCTCCTTTCTGTTCAGGCAGATCACCAGTGACGAATTTAAAAAAAAAATTGATTAATGGTTCAATTTGTTTGAAAAAGACCAGTCAGGACTTATCCAAAAAACTTTATGGATTAAAAGGAAGGCTGCACTTCTCCCCGAGAAGTGGATGGCAGAAATTCGGTACGCAGGTGACTTTTGCTTAAATTAACAATAGAAGATAAGCACAGGGAAGTGTAGTCTCTAAGAGATTGTATTAACTTAATTTTGGTACAAAGTAGGCATTTTCCTAGATTTTCAGGAAGACTCTTCTTCTCTCCGCGCAGAAGACCAGTGAGGACTTATTCAAAAAAATTTATGAATTAAAATGAAGTGGACTGCAGATTGGCCTAAAAAACATACTAATTGATCGAATTACTTGAAATTTGGTACATAGCTGTCTTTTTACTTAGATTAACGGGAAGACTTACTTTACTCATGGTTCGATTTGCCAGAAATTAGATACATACGTGTTTTTTTGCTTAGAATAAAAAGAAAGGCTTCACTTTTCTTCGGAATGTGAAGAAGGGACTGAGTTATTACGCAAAATTTATGTGTGGTTGAAATTAATTAAAGCTTGCAGTTCCCACGAGCTAACTGAAGAGAGCGGTCACGTTAGTGTAAACTTTTAAACTTTTCTCGCCCACGGGCCTTAACTAAAATTTCAAAACTGTATAACTTTCTTTTAACACCGGATAGCAAAAAGACAACCAGAAGCAGGTAGTCAAAAACATAAAATAATAATAATATTAACCACCATGGAGGTAGACTCCGGAGGGGCTAGAAGTAATTACTTCCCCTCTTCAAACTATATACCAAAAAAACTTTTGTATTTATGGAAAGAATAACATAGAAAGAGAAGAGAATGCAAAACGAGGTATCCCCTTGTTGGTAGCGGATAATGTGGAATTCACTCCTATTCAACTAAATACTTCCATTCTCGCAATAGCAATAGAATTTAAGTCCCAGGTCAAATAACATGAACTCATATCTCATATCAAAGAACCAATACTACTAATAGGAGATCTAAATGCTTGTAGCCCAATCTGGGGATCTCCACGATTCAACAAGGAGGGTAAAATAGTAACGAAATTTATTGAAAACAGCAATTTTATAGTATTAAATGATAAAAGTCCAACTCACGGGACTTACGCTTTGCACTCCACCCCTTAATATTTCATCTAGCTAGAAAGTTAGTAGCGAGCTAAACGGTAGCGACCACATCCCAATCAACTTAACGCTATTCAACTTGCCTTCTATTATAAACTATCACAATCCCAAAAAAATCATTTTGAAAAAGGCAAACTGAGACCAATACCAGTTACTACTAAGAAGCGACTTAGAAAACATCAACTTTACCAAGATGAATCCCAATAAAGCCGCCACGATCTTCACACAAAAAATAAAGCAATGCTCATACAAAACTCTACTCATCTCACTGTCAAAACGTAAAAGGAAGATGTGCAGCATATTGGTGGAGCGACACATTGACTGAACTTAGGAAAGCTAAACAGGACATTTGGAAACTTCTCAAACAACATCCCACCAACGAAAATGTACTAAATTACAAAAAGGCGAATGCTAAATATAAGCGCGAGGGAAAAGTGTCCAAACGTGTAGCTTTTGTGAATTCCACTAAAGATATAAATAAAAACACACCATCAAAAGTTCTATGGGACAAAGTAAATTTCATTTATGGACATCGACCACAATACTTTATTCACTCATTGAAAGAGAAGATAAATTATCTACTTCAAATCATCTGGAAATAGGTGAAACTTTTGCTAGAGCCTGGTCAAATTATTTACTGTACCCATACCGGAAGCAAAAAAACCAAAAAATTTTACCGAAGGATATAGACCTATATTTCTTATCTCCTGCTTGTCAAAAGCTATGGAAAAAATGTTATCGCGGAGACTTATTTGGTAACTAGAAACAAATCAGCTACTTTTAAGTAACCCAATTGCCTTTAAGTGCGGGAGTAACACTATGAATACATTACTTCGCTTAGACGAGCATATTGCAAACACTATATTCAGTAGAAACCACATGTCTCTCATATCTATAGACATGGAGAAGGCATTCGATAGAGTTGGATTGGCTTGCATTGCTCACCAATATCAGTCACTCTCTTTTTAATCGCTTACGATACGCTCAGT